TGTTGTTTCTCTCGCGCCCATTTGTCGATATACAAGACGACGGGGAAAAGAAGACATTGAGTATGCCAGCTTTTGCTCGGTAGCAAAAAACCCAAAAAACACACACAAAAAAACACACACAAAAAAACACACATTGTACAGGATAGCACCCAATGAAACACGCACATATATTCCTACGTACATATGTATATATATTCCTATGAATATAAACAAGCCGATGTTCGCAAAGCAACCAAGGCAACAACACCGTTTTTTTTATCTCGCCCTGCTGTTTCCTACACATCCGAAGCACACAGCACAAAGGTGAAAAAAAAAGAGACAAAACAAAACAAAACACAATAAGGAGGGAAGGGTGCAAAAAAAACAACAACAAGAGATCCTTGGCAATCAACTTATTTACCGCTCCACTGCTTGCATCCGCAGAGAGTCCTTTCCTTGGGACGCCTTACATATATTGCACGTGAGGACCTCCATAAATGAGGGTTCTCCACGCCACTCCTCAAGCGGAGATCCAATATATCCCAGGTGACCTCCGCGAGGAAGTTCAAGAAAGGCGACAAGCTTGTTGGCGTTGACCAACTCTCTCATTTGTGTTGTGGGTGGGTCACCTGTGACAGGATCGTCACGGGCTATCACGCAAAGAGCAGGTATCGTGCAATGTCGAAGAGACGTCAGCGTGTTTACCGCGGCGTAGTACTCTTCAGGGTTGGAGAAGCCGTTGTGGGGGGCGGTGATGTGGGCGTCAAATTCATATAAGTTCCTCAACTTTTTTTAGGAATCGCAGCGGGTCCTTGCGAATACCGTCGTGACTAATTCCTGGTAGTTGTTTAACAATATCAATATGGCGAATGGCGTAGCGAACGAGGCCGCCAGTTAAATTTTTTTGATAAAACGCATTTTTGGGCTTCATCATATTCGCCTTTGAAGCCAATGTATCCAGGGGGCTGTTAACAATAAGGGCGGCGTCAAACGGAAGCATCGCTTTTGGCATACTTTTTCCCTCCTCCTCCAAGTACTTTGCCAAGACTACCCCGCCCAGACTAAAACCAACACCCCATACATTTTCGGCCGATCTGCCAAGCCTTGACGAAATCGCCTTCCTTGAAAGGGCTGTGCGGGCAACCCAGCGAACGTCACCAGTCCATGCCGCAGACATGAGTCTCGGTTGCGTCAGCGGGGTGTCGCCCATGCCCCGTGTGTTGAAGACACAGCAGTGAAAGCCCTTGTCGTGCGCGTGCCACACATAATGTTGAACGTAGTTAGTCTGAGACCAAGAAGCGAGGCCAGGGAAAATAATCATGATGCCGTTTGTTGGACCACGCTTCTCATCTGCAAGCAGCCAGTCAAGGCAGATGGGATTGCCATCTGCGCCGTCAACCACCTCTCGCGTGTACTTGATCGGTTTTGATGGGCGCAGGCTGCAGAGCACTGTACTTATATGCCCGTTATATGGAGGGGCGGTGTAGCGGAAACCAACCATGCTCTCAATAGCAAAAAGAACCCGTGTTGTGGACTCATCACCCAGAAGCTTAATCTGTTGCTTGGCTTCATCGCAGGCCTCCTCGCCAATAATTGCCTTGAGCACCCGATGGAGACGGGGAATATACACATGAATAACGTGTACAACGGCGTGGAGGAGCCAAAACGAAGCCCTTGCAACGACGGACGACATCTTATGGGTGCTGGCAAGAGGGTCTAGAACGAGCACACGAAGAGGCAGGGGGGCAGGAGTGGGAGCTGCGCAGCACAGACGAAGAAGGGACAAATTACGGCAATAAATAAATAAATATTTAAGCAAGCAGTTTTTTTTTCCTTTTTTTAGTTGTCCTTCTAGTCCCCGTTTCCTTGGATGCGTGTGGAGGTTCCACTTCGCTCCTTTATCCCTGCCCTTTGCTGTCCCCAGTGGCGCAGAAACGAGCTCCACGTGCCATGAAGTTCCTCCGTGGCACGAGCGGCCCCTCCCCCCCCCCCCGCCAATGCGATCCACGTCGTCGGGGTCCGGCGAAGGGTGCGAGGCTCCGGCAACTTCATACTGGACTACAGCGGAGTAAAGTAACGACCGATGCCGTGCCTTTGCGGATCCACGCGCGGGATTGTCATTTCCACCAAGACGCCCACGTCCTCCAGCGGTGGGTACTTCATCAGACGCTTAAGCGCCGCAATGCAGCCCACCATAAGATCCTGCTTCACGTACAACAGCATGGACGCGGCAAGCATCGTAACGATACTGTTGTTGAGGCGATACTCACTCTGCCTCGCAAGAAAGCGTTCTGAGAGGAAGACGTCCCACAGGTCGGCGCATTGGGGGATAGAAAACTCCCGAATAAAAAGAAGACGCAACCAGCGTATTAGATACGACGTGCCCTCAATCGCGTACGCCACATTCATTTGCTGGTGCAACTCAGGGTCAAGCTCCGCCAGTAATTCCTTCTGCGTCTTGTGTGACGCACTGACAATGCCGCCGGGCGCATTCTCCTCGTCCGTGTGGTACCACTCGGAGAGATGCAACCCGGAGGCATCCATAATGGCCTCAAAGAGCAAAAAAGAGATCGCCGTCACGCCGTCGGTGGGGCAGACGCATCTAAAGTCAGCCACCAGTGCCATGTCAACTTCCTCAGAGGTCGCGAAAAGCTCTTCGAGAAGAGCGGCGTCGGTGTGGGTCAGGTAGAGAATAAATGCCGCAACCTCGTGCATGCCCTGTCTGTACTGACAGTCATGGCGGAGACAGTAGTGGACAAAAATGTCCAGCAAGGCACTCTTCGTGGTGGATTGCTCAAACAGCGGAAGCTCCCAGTGAAGTCGATCCAAATCCTTCTGGGCGGTGGCGCGTATCGTGTCCACGGTGTACTGCAGGGCGTAGGAACTCCCCTCAGACGGAAGAAGCGGATTCTCCACAGTCATGTCCTCCTCATCCTCGCCGGAGATGGAGGAGTCGCTTCCAGCAAAGTTCCCCCTCTTTCCTACAGGGCGCACCGCAGAGGCGGTGACGAGGAGACGCTGTCGCAGGTGGTCGTTCAGCTCCTTCCATTCGCGCCCCCCCGCACGGGTGCACTCCGCCCACACCTGGCGGTAGCTGCCAGCCTCCACGTCTAACGGGAGAAGTCCCAGCAAGAGCCGCCAGCGAAGACTGTGGAGGGCGCGAAAGGGACGATGATGCGCAAAGTTTAACGCGCGCTCAAGCAGCGCCTCCTCCAAGCGGCCCTCCTGAGCGGAGCGGTGGAGACTCCTCAGCTCCTCCATGGCGACGAACACCCCGCCCCACGCCGCAATGCAACCCTGGCGGCGTGGGAGAAGAAGGGCCACAACGCGCACCAAACAATAGAGGCAGGAGGAGGAGAGTGCAATGGAAACGCACGCGGGAGAAGGAGGCTTTTCACGGTCATTATTGGAATCCCTGCAATAAATGACCGTGAACTTCAAAGAGCAAGCATCCACAAGGGAGGTCAAAAATAAACTAGCACTCCTTCAGCCCCCCCCCCCCCACCTCCTCTCTCTCATGCACACAGACGCAAAAAGAAAGAAAAAAAAAGACATGACGACATAAAACCAAGCAAAATAAAGGCAGGTAGTAACCACAACGTTGCTTTTCAGAAATTTGCTTCCAGTACTCAGTACGTTCGCATGGGGCAGAGTGGAATCACGACAGCCCCGTCTGCCTACCAGAAATCATGGAGTGCTAAGGGTCAAAGCTTGATCAAGGAGGTGCTCGAGGAGACGTTAAAGCTGCGCGTGGAAGTTGTTCCATGGGCTGCATCCGCGGAGACTGTACAAACGTTGCTGCATCACCGCCTTCGCGTCACCACCGAGGACTGGCACAGGCGCAGCTTCTGCGACTAGACGGTCCACAGTATGGCCGTAGCAGGGGGCACCCAGCGCCGCGCTGACACACTCCACGCACATGCCCACAGAACAGAGTTCTGGCGGTGTACTGGCAATCCACAACACGGTACCCGGGGGAGGTGCACGGAGGGCCCTCGTTCTCGGCACAGAGGCCAGAAGCCGCAGCCCCCGTGGGCACCACGACGTACGCCACGACGCAGTGCCCCCCCCCCCCGGCCGTGCAACAACTTCCTGTAACCATGGGGAAATAACAGAGTTTGATGGAAGCCACGTCCCCTTTCGCCGCAGTGAGAAAAGGTGTCTGTGTGTTGGTACGTGTGGCGCACACGGAAAAAAAAAATAACTGTAAAAAAATGGGGGAAGATGCTTCGTTTGCGACTTCTCCCCGGCACCCAACTGTGTATATCTAAGGCGTTATACTTGCCACATCTAATAAAAGAACTCTCGCGTCAAGCGCAACTGCACTCACGTGAGACACGGTCGTCTTCTAGTGCGCATCGTCGCACTCGTAGAGGGTCCTCGTTGGTCATTCTCCTGGAAGCAAAGCGGCGACATCGCTTTCGTCCCTCCCTTCACTAACACCTTGGCAGCGACACCGCGTGTTGCCTTGTATTCCGCCGATTCTGACTGCGACACCGCCGCCGAGTACCAACTGCCCGTCGCTGACGCAGGCCTCACTCGGTGGCGTCTCGCGAAGGCCTTCGTCTCTTGTAACTGTTGCCGTCGCCGCTGCAAAAAAAGTGCGTTGCCGTAGAGCCGCTCAAACACAGTTACACCCTCCGCCCAGCGCGCAAGAAGCGCCTCATGCGTGTGGTTGACGGCAGGCGTGAAGGTGCAGTTGCTGTCGTCTTCGGAATCCACGTGAAGAGGCGCCTGGCACGTGCACTGCCGGCACCGCGACAACCCAAATAGGCGTTCGTGGACGGCGTCGTGTGTGGGCACCCCGCGTGTGTCGTTCCCACCGCGCCGGCCCCACCCACCGCGGCCGACGGCAGACACGCAGCACGAGGAACAGCCCACCATCCCCTTTTGTTCCCCGCGACCGAAGAAACCAAAGGGCGACGGCAAAAAAAAAGAGAGAGAGAAAAAGAAAAAGAGATGAGAAAACCAACACAAGGAATCATAGAGGCGGCGGAGAAGGTGCAGAAGAAAAAAAAGATGCAGTATTCGATCAAACGCCCCAAAGAAAGGATGCGGCAGGGGCATCAAAAAAAAAAAAATACGCCCCGTCCGTGGCGTTTCAGTCCGACTGATATTCCTCCTCCTCCACATCAATCTCCTCACACTGAGTCTCCTTCTCAATTGTCATGTTATGATCATCCATGACCTCCCGCTGGGACACCATGGGGACCACACTACTGCTGCTGTTATGCACGCCGAACAACTTTTCGTCCTCCTCCAGCCGCCTCAGGTCTTCTCTAAAATCCTCCTGGCAACGCGCCAGCTCCCTCTCGCGGCTCTCCAGTGAGTGATTCCACTCGGAGATGGTTTCATGTTTTTTTGCTAGCACCCGATTTCGTTGTTCAACTTCGTTCTCGAGCGTCTTTAGCTCCCGCACCGCCTTCTCCAGGCTCTGCTCGGCGTTAAACTGCTGAAGCTCGCGTCGCTCCATCGCTCGCTCATCCCTCTCGAGCCGCTCGCGCCGCTCCGCGAGGAGCTCCAGCTCCCGCGCCTCCTCACGCAAGCGCTCACTTACCCAGGCGAGCCGCTCCTCCAGGTTCTTCTCCTCCTTGTCCAAGACAGACCCCGTGCGGCCGACCACCTGCGAGAATTTTGTCTGGTCACACTGCAGCGTCAGGTGGTTCTTTCGCGCGGTACTGATCTGTGAGCGGCACTGCTGGTGATCAATCTCGAGGCATCGCCGCTCGTCCGCAATGGTGCTTTGAATTTGATCAAGCAGCAAGACACGCTCACGAATGGCGGCCTCCTCACGCAGGTAATACTTCTCTATTTCCTTTTCCAGGGAGAGGGAGCCGTCTAAAATCTTCGTGTAATCGCGCTCTATGGCAGTGGCACTCTGCAGGGCGCGGTGATCGAGGCTCATTATTGAGCCCCGCCAATTCACTCGCACCTGTGTGTGTTGCTGCAGGGGGGCGGCAGCAAGTGTGTGGATGAGCGAGAGAGGAGGACTTGCCTGCGCACCACGCTAGAAAACGGCAGCACAAGCAGCAAGGAAGAGAGGAAAATTTACACGTGCAGCGGCGGCAGGCGCAGCGACACTCGACTCTCTTCGCTGCAAAGTTATTACCTCTGCATGGGAGAGAGGAGCAGAGAAGAGTACAGAAGGCATGTCACGTCATCACGCACAGGTCAGCAGCGAAGGGTTGCAAGTGTGAAGGCGGGATTCCTGGCCGCTTCTTGTAGCACATGCCTCACGCGTTCGTGGACTTCGCGTCCAGTCCGCAGTGCGTGCTGAACTTCGGGTGACATTTGCAGCTCCCGCGGCGCCGTTGCAGGGGATGTGGGAGGCGACGCAGAGAACGCGGACTCCGTCGACGGATGGCTCGCCTGGCGTGGTGCTGCGTCGACGCCATGTTGGTGCGCAAAGACTTCGTTAAACAGTGCCTCGCCCTCGTCTAGGTAGTCGGCGATGACGTGCAGCCTCTGCCGCAGCTCCGAGGCCATGGAAAAAGCCGCCAAGAAAGGGATTCCCCCACGCGGCCCAGAGAGAACCGCAAGACACGACACCCACCCTACACGTCCAAGCAGGGAGCGAATCACAAGACGCAAAAGAAGAAGAGGAAGCGAGCCTGCAATGGAGACAAACAAAGAAGGAAATAATTGTGCGTCCGCATATGTGCAGGCATACACGCATATGTGCCTATCGGACGACCAGCAGGCAGACACCACAAGCGCGGGGTGGCGAAGAACCCCGCCTTAACGCGAAAGAGAGAAAGAGTGAGGGAGAAATAACAAACACTACTCGGCGATGCATTTGTTCGTCCCCCCCCCCTCCCCAAATTTCTCATTGCTTTTTAACAGGTATATGTATATATATATATATTCACTTCTTCGCCTTCCTCCAAGAGAAACAAACAACAAGCCAGAACAACTCTTTTTTTTTTTTTAACGTCCGTCAGTCAACCTTCATCTGATGAAATCCAAGATCCTCATCCTGCTCGTAGCTCCGCACGTAGGACGTCTTGGTAAGCCGCGGGTCTTGGTTCGCCGGCGGTGGCAGATGCTCGCGCGGGTTTTGCACGTAAATGTTCGCCAAGGGATCGTCAAGAATGAAGGTAAAAGGCCGCTTCACCTCCAGAAGATCATCCAGCTCCTTCACAAACTCCAGTAGCGTCTTTGACTCTCCATCTGTGTCGGCGGAGTCCCCCTTTGCGAACTCTGCCTGCGGCAGGTTGCGCAACTGATCCCGCACCATCATGACCGTCCCCTCCACGGTGGAAAAGAAACCCCCCAGCGTGCCGGGCGCCACCTCCAGCGCCACCTCCGGTATGTTCAGCGTGGCGGTTTCAGACTTGAGAACGTCCCGCTTCAGGTCATCCTCCGCCTCAACGCGCAGCTCAATCCTCAGACCTGTGTCGGAAACCTTCCCCCCCGACTTTACCTCGTTACTTTTATAGCCGCAGAATTCACAACGAAACGCCATAATGACGGTTTCCTTAAAGTAGGGAATGTCAATTTGTTGCATATTAATGAATCCCTGCTTCTTGCACGCAGGGCACTCCGTTTGCATGCGCATCACATCGTCAAAATGACCCTCCTCCACCACGCGCTCCTGCTCCTCATCTCTCCTTGTATTGTAGTCAACCGTCAGTCCTAATATCTGTCGTTGCACATCGGTGCGTTCCACTTCATAGTGAGTGAGCTGGGGATCGATGGTGGGGTGGTAGTAGTCGTAGTAGGCCTCAATGTAGCTATTCCCGGCAGGATCGTCAACGATGAAGGTGAAGGGAATATCGCCCGTGCGGTACTCCCGAAGCCTCTGACAAAAGGCCTCCAGCTTTTCGTACAACTCCGGCTCTTCAATGCGGCGCAGTGGCTGCTGCAGCTGAAGCCCAGTTTCGGTTTGCTCCAAAAATCCCTCAACGGTGTTGAGAAGGCCCCGCTGGGACTCTGGCGGAATTTCCAGATCCAGCTGGGGAATTCGCACCGTCGCGAAATCCGACTTGACCACCTGGCGATCCAAATCCTTCTTTGACTTCACCTCAAGTTCATAGCGAACCGCCTTGGGGCCAAAGGTGCCACCAAACGACACCTCATTGTTCCTCTCGCCACAGTGCGGGCACTCAAAACTGCTCACGATGACTTCCTTGAAATGCGGTATGTTAGTGATCATCAGACGCGTGGTGCCGTTCTCGCCGCACTTGGGGCACAGCGACTCAACGGTGTTCATCTCGCCCACCTCCGTCTTGATGAAGTTCGGCGCACCGGTGTCATCTGTTGCCTCCGCCTCTGGCGGTGGCGGCTGCGGCTGCCCCTCTGGTAGGGCCGCCATTGCTCGAGTGAAGCGAGGGTCTCCTACAAACACAACAATGAGACAGAAAACAACAGCAACGACAAGGCAATAAACAACAACAACAAAAAAAAGAGGAAATTCAACCCGCACATGGCCACACTTACGCACACGCATTTAACTTCAGCAACGACAACAAGAACTAGCCGCGGCAGCGCTGGCAGCGTCTCACGCAAAACGGAACGCAATCTCGGTTTCATCGCCCACGTCTCTACTTTCCATTTTCATGATTTCCGCGGCTGCGTGAGAGGACGAGAAGAGCAGCAGCGTCGTCGTCAAATTGTTCTGCAGCCTCATGATACTTTTTGGGGGAGTTCTCAGACGGCTCTGAGGCAGAGGTTGCCCGCATTTCCAGAGGTGTGTGTGTATATATATATATAGTGTGCGTATATAAAAATTTCTGCATACAAGATGATTATCACTTGTGCAAAAGCATATAAAAGCAGGCATGCACACGCAAGCTGAATCTCTACAGGCTATCCTCTTCTACCCAGTCAACGTGTACGTGACGTTAAGAGCCGTCCGTGAACGATACGATGGGCAGACGGCCCACATGCGGATTGCATGAAGTTCGATGGAGTGGCACACTTCCGCCGTTTGGTGCTCACACTGGATGTGGTGCACCGTCCCACCGGGGGCATCAATATCCACGGTGAAGTCATTCGACACAATGACGTTTGTCGTGAAGCCGTCGATGGCGTCGGAGTCAATCTGCAACTTCTTCCGCATCAGGTTGACCCCGGGGCTGCTAAATGCGACACCAGGAAGTCGCCTGCGAGCCGCCACAATTTGCGCCACGACACCGCCAAGGGAGTGGCCCGTCAAAATGATGTGCCGCGAGGTAACGGTGCGCAAGTACTCCTCAACGTGGAGGTGGTAGTAGTCACTCGTTGTCCCGCCCAAAAGTATCGAGCTTATCGCGCTCGACGCCGCCACGTAGTCGGAAATGACGCTCTCAGGAATGAGACCGCTCAGTGGGAGAAAGCTCGCAAACAGCTTGAAAACCCCAATCTCACTAAAGAGCAGCAGGTTCTGCAGAAAGTCAAACGGCGAGGTGATGTCGGTGCCTCGCACAGCAATCACGGAGGTGTCTTTCGACGGCGAGTAAATGTGACGGAAGACGGCACGGCCGTATGTGTGGTTTGTGGGAACCGCCACCCAGTCCGACCCACCATCGCGGAAGCGCCGGTAAAAATCGAGCATTGCGCGAAAATCCGTCGAGTCCCGCTGCAAATAGGACATGAGTGAGAAGTATGCGAGGTCGGCGGCGTGCAGGCTGTCAGCCCACAGGTGCGAGCAGAGGGCGGAGTACCGGGCGACATCGTGCTTCGCCTCTGCTTCTTCGGCCACCGACTTCCCGGGCCGCGCGCGGGGGGCCTGGCTGCGGATGTCGGCCACCATGTAGCGCGCCGTCACTCGGATGCGCTCGCCCGTGCCGTCGCCGTCGCACCGGGTGGGCGTGGTGCCCTCAAAGCCGGGGTGCTTGACACTTACCCACACGGCGAGGCCGAGGACGAGCGCAACCGCCGACGTCAAGGAGAGCCGATGGAAGGCGCGCAGCAACACTCCCGGGCGGTGGCGGGCGGCGCGCCGCGCCGTCGCGCCGCCCCCGGCCTCGTGCTTCGGCGTCGTGGAAGCGCGGGGTTGCGCTGCCGCGCCGCACTGCCCGGGGGCGCCCTCCTGCGGCCGCCCGTCGTCGTCCAGCCGGCGCCAGCGCCGAACAACAAGGCTGAGAATCCCGCAAACGCAGAGCACCCGCACAAGCAGAAGTGCCGGAGAAAGGAAGACCACGGAGGAGGCGACCAAGGGACTCAGCAATAAGGCGTAACAAACAAGTCCGTTCCGTCGTCTCGGAACCCGCGCCGCTGCCGCGGTGAAGATTGCGAGATGGTAAAAAAACATCGTCAGCCTGCTTGACAGCAGCAGGACAACGTGAAGCGTGCTGACGTACAGCATTCCCTCGCAGAAGCGCGCAAACCCACGGTTGTAGCCCTTTACCCAGGAAAGGTACGCGCAGTAGAGTGCAAGCACATACAAGTAGGAGCGCCGTACGCGCGGCACCGCCTTGCGCCACCACCGCGTCATGGCAGGCCCCAAGGGATCATCCACGCTACGATAGTAGCTCCAGATGAACGCTCCCGCTAACAGCGACATTGTAGCAAGAAATAGGAAGAAAATGTCATTGCCCTGACGTTCCCAATGGATAAGTGAATCGCTGTTAAAAATGCCTATGATAAAGCAAAAGGCACAACACACCAAAACTAACGCAAACAACCTCGCATAGGGCAGCGCAATCAACGACTGGTATCCCTGAAGCAGGCGATGAAAACCAACTGTGCACTGGGCAGCCTCATTATAAGTCACCAGACAGGAGTCAATCATGGCATCCGTGACGACAGCCGCCAGCTTGTAGCCAATAGCAGCTATTCCTAGAAGGATGCAGATGTGGGATAACACCAAACTCAACGCCCAAACCACGTCATGACGAAGGGGAATCTCCTTCACATCCCGCCATGTGTACATGCCCCAGTGATACTTCTCGCGCAGCACAGGAAAGACGAACTGAAAGAAGAGGTGTAAAATACAGTTCACTAAGATGGCCAAGATGGACGCCAGTAGAGGAACGTAGTGGTAGGTTGCAATCCACACAGCAAACCTTTTGATTTGAAACCGATCAAGAAGAAAAAACCCCATCGCTGCCTGCCGAACTCTCGCCACGGCCCAGTGCGTTCCCTCGCCTAGTTCCCTTGACGTGTGTTGCAGAGAGACGTAGAAGAATTCCTGTATGTGTGACGGTTGCGTCATTGTTGCACACTCCGGCACCATCGCCCCCCCGACCGCCTGCGTCATGCATAAGAGCACCTGTGCGTATTTGTGGGTCCATCACGAGAGACAGAAAAACGAAAAAAAAAAGGGCAGAAGTAAAACAAAAATGGTGCTTCAAACCACGGCATTACATTACCTCCGGAACGACGTACACGGATGCAAGGACTGGGACAGACCGCGTAAGAAGAGGCAGGGAAAATGAGCCCGGCTGACTCTTCATCACGGCAAATAATAACTAGCAACGCAGGCAAACATTTGAGCTTTAAGGCATCTCGCGTGTGCCCCCCCTCCGACCCAACGAAACTTCTCCAAATTTTGGTTGTGTGGTCGAAGCACGCCCAGGAACAAGGTAAAAAAGAAAAAGAAATGGGCAAAAACAAAACACAGACGCAAATCCATGGAAATCGCAGGAAGGAAAGAGGGAAGGAAACGACAAACCATACGTGCAGACATACACACGCACTTATGCATACTCCACCTGGAAGTATAGAAGCGTGTATCAACACACAGAAATATATATATATATATATATATATATATATTGCGCTGCATGCCAAGAATGGTTTCAAAAAACAAAAAAACAAAAAAGAAAAAGGTCACGCTAGTAAGAGGCGGTCGTCGTCTCAGATTTCCTCACAGCTCTTGAGTTCCCGCCGCGACGGCATCTTAAGCTCCCTGCTCGCCCAACTTTTCATTCATCATGCTCGCTGTCGTCTCTTTGGGCACTGCCTCCGGCGAGCCAATCACACCGTCGTTACCCTCCTCTGCTCGGTCCGGCAACGCCGCCTCCGAGCACTCCTGCTGCAGCGTGGTCATCAGTCGTTGCATGGCCTCCGCCAGTTCATCGTGGCCCGCATCCTCGGCCGCAAGCTGCAAGAGGTTCGGCGTGGCAGTTGCGGATGTGACCATCGCCGCCGCCTCAAGTGCGTCACGGTATCGCGCAAGAAACCCTCGCGCCCGCGCCGCCGCCTTGGCACGCTCCTGGGTTAGCTGCTGCTGCAGCGAGGAACGTTCTAGAGCGTTTGCCCGAATTCGCTCCTGAGCGGCATCGATAGCGGCGGTGAGTCCAGCCATCGACGCCGTTTGACGGCGTATCTCGTCCGCCTTGAGCTGGGCCTCCTTGAAGCGCAGTGCCGCCGCCGCCGCCTTCTTCGCCGCCTCTAGAAGCGGGATGTTGTTTCGCGTCTCCGCCAGCTGCACCCCAAGCGACGCGACCAGCGCCTCGCTTGTCTCGTCTTCCGCGTTGAGCGTGGACAGCTGCCTCCGCAGTCGGTTCACATGCGAGAGAGGCGTCTCCTCTTCTTCCTCCTCCGCCTCCGCCGCCTCGTGCGTGTTCCCCGCCGCCGCCGCGCCACACGATGTCAACGAGGGCGCGGTGAACAGGACGCCGCGGCCGGCATTCCGCATCCGCAGGAGCTCCACCACGGCGTTGGTGTACTTCTGCAAATCCGAAAGGGTCTCTCTCTCGAGCAGCGTCTGGCGCTGCTCATAGACGTCGATTCGCGTCACACAATCCTGCAGCTCCGATAACAACGAGTCTCGCTTGGCGTCAAACGCCTCCGCCTCCGCCCGCAGCACGTCGCTCTCCTGCTGAAGCTGCTCCAGGTTGGCGGCAGCCACGCGTACGCGATCCTCCTCCTCGTTGAGAAAGTTGTCAATGTCGCGCTCCATCGACTCCTGCTCGGCCTCCACTCGCAGCAGAGTTGACGTCACTTCCTGCAGTTCCGCCGCCTTCTCCGCGCTTGTCCGACGCAGTGTGGCAAGTTTTGCCTCCAGCGCAGCAATCTCAGCGTCCACCTCCATCTTTTCTTGCGAAACCCGCCCCTGCAGTGTCCGCAGCTCCTCGCTTTGCCGCAGCATCTTTTCCCTTAACGCCGCCCTTCTTTCCCTGAGGCCTGTTTGCTCCCGCCTCGCGCTCTCCTCCAGACGCTTCGCCTGCTCAATGGCGGCGCCCACCTCCTCCCTGCGCGTCTCCAGACTGCGCGTCACTTCTTGAATAAACTTCCTCACACGCCGGTCCGCGCCGTCCTTGGAGTCAATGAGCTCCTGTCGATGCCGCCGCAACAGCCGCGCAAGCGAACGCACCACCTCCACCGCTGCATCACGCCGTGCGCAAAGCGATGCTAGCAGCCGCACTGGCGCCCCATCGAGCTCCGCCAGCTGTGCGCCAAGCTGCTCTAGCTCGGCGCTCAGCAGAGCCGCTTCCTCAAACGCCTCCTCCGCCGCACACTGCTCCACACGCTTCTCAAGTTTGCTCACTGCAGTCATACACTCACGACGCCGCTCAATGGATGCACGGATCTCATCCAAAACGAGTGAGAGGTTCGCTCGGGCCAGGAGAACGTCACCTTGCGAGTCCTGAACTTCACGCCGCTGAATATCCCAGATTGCCTCAGTTCCGCTCTTCGCGTCACTACCCGTAATTTTATCGCGGCTACTACTGCTGCTCCCACTGCATTTGTGACCCCTGCTACAGGAGGCCTTGACATTCTCCTCCACGGTGGTGTCCTCCTCCTTGTCATTGCTGTCTTCGTCGGATTCCAAGGCACTTCGACATACATGCGGTGCTGCGTCTGATTCTGTTTTTGCTTCCGTATGCATGCCTTCTGCGTTTCTTACTGCTGCGCCGTCGGTTTCTTCGGCAGCGGAATCAGGCGCCAGCTTGGCACCGGCCACGGCGGGGAGCGGCACAACGTCAAAGCCTGAGGGCTCTCCAGCCTCTCTTGGCGCAAGAAAGTCAAACGCAGGTTTGGTGCCGTCCCCGTCGTCAAGAAGCGTATGAGCAGCTTCCACTGGCGTTTGCCGCGGATTCAAGTCCGCAGCGTCCCTACGCATGCACGAAGAGACGACGGCCGCAAGTGGCGTATTCGCAGCGACGCCCTCGCGGTTGTCACAGCGGTGTTTCTTCGCTCCGCTGGCGATAAAGTCAAACGCCGACTCCGTCTCGCTCGCGGCGCCTGGCGGAGGCAGTTTATCCCCACGCGGAAGGGCACTCGCCTTCAATTCGTTAGGCTCCGGGCCATAGTTTGAGACCAGCTGCACAAACAGTTCCTCCTCCCTTCCCATAAACGCCTTTATGGTGTCCTCCACCTGCGACAACTTCGATGGATTGTACAACTCAAAGTAGCGTTCCAGCCGCTGGCGCATTTGCGTCACTTGCGGAGCCTCCTCCTCATCCTGCACGGCGCCCGGAGACATTTCAAAGCGCATAAAAAAAGGGCTTGGCTCCGCCGCAGGTGTCAGCGGTTGAACGCAGTCCTTCATCTGCACGGAAGCGGAGGAGTCACCACGAGGCGTGTGTGACCCTGCCGTACTTGCGGCAGACCTCCTGTGGCGTGTGCGCACAACCTCCATACCACCGAAAAGATCTCCAGAATCCGCCGCCGCGGAGGAGTCCCCACCGCCGCTGGCATTGCTACAAATCTTGTTGTCGGGGCTGTGAGGCGGAGCAACGAATACTCCAGCGCCGCGGCTGCCGTTGGCGCGGCTCAAAACAGACGGCTGCGCTTCTCGTAAAGCTTCAGTCCGCCACCACTTCTTCATAGGCGTACGCTATGTGGTTATATATGAATATATATACAATACAACTGTATATTATATCTGTCTGCGTCTCTCGCGTCGTGCTTGTTACCGCGGGAGATGCGTGCCGCTGCCCCCGCACCTTCCCCTTCGCCACTGTTTTTTTTTCTTTTTCTTTTTCCTCCGCGGTAGGCAGCCGTCGGATTGTGCAAAGGATTAAAAAAAAAAGCGAAAAAGAAACGGTGAGGAGGATGCAAGGGCGCTAGGATGGCTCCCGCTCAACCTATCCGAAAATGTTCAACGCAGTCGGGGTATGAGCCCCTCTCGATGGGCCGCAGGTTCAACTTGCGCAGTCCCGTTGCACATCCCCTACGTCTCTGCGTCTCCCCCTTTTTTGCCTCCCCTCGGACAGCGACGCACAGAGGGAGGCCCCAGACAAGTACAAACATCTCCGGGCTGCCGCAGTCCCATGCCGGGGAGGGAGGACTCACTTGTACAGGAGGTCGTAGTGCCCCGGGCGGTACAACAGCGTCAGTACAATACACGCGTCGTCGTTGGCGTCGCTCGAGCCGCTGGCAAAGGTGTGGCGCGTGGCGCACGTACCCGCGCTGCCGTCCAAGTACTCCACAACAATGCGCACATCGAAGCACCTGGCGAACGCCACCACCTGCATGTGATCGCTTTCGCTTGACACCGCATCAATTTCTGCCCGGCAAAATTCCTCGACGCTTTCGTAATTAAGTCCCATGACAAACGGAAGGAAGTCGTCCCCATGGGCACGTATGTAATTGGAAACGGCGTAGCGGTAGAAGTAAAGCATGTACTCCGCGTCCCTTGAAGTCGCCAGTGCATACAGCTCCGCCGCCGTCGTACAGGATCCAGACTCGATTTCATAAATTGCGGCAATCGCCGCGTCGCAGAAGTCCTCAACGAAGTCACCGTAGTCGCTCTTTAGCTTCTTGGTTAGCTCCCTGGCCAGTTCTAGGTACCTCGCCGCCAGCGCCCTATCGCGGAGCAGAGCCTCCAGCAGGGCGAAGACGGCACAGCGGAAGAAGCAGTTTCCATCGCGCCGCGCGTACCGAATGCCGCTGTAGCGATCAGCGTTGTCTGGTGCAAAGAGTGAAAGCACCTTTGGGAACATCGCAGAGTTGTTCGCGAATTCCCTCACGAGGGTACACGTTTCCGACAGCGCCTCCACGTGTTCAGTGAGGAGTGGTGAGGCCTCAATTTCGCTCCGAATAATCGCCAGTTGCACCTCGCGGTCGTGAGTGGTGGCCGCCATGGCGCGTTGGGGCGGGGCGGGACGGAGTGCGAGTCAGGCGCACGCGCAAAGGCAACGGGCCGCTGGAATACCGCACGGAGAGGCAGGGGTCAGTGCGTCCGCGCCGCAAGGTCCTTCCACGCAGCCAAAGTCAACAGTGCGAGGGGAAGGCGAGTGGGAGAGAAAAAGCAGTGCGTGTAATAAAACAGGCGGCGCCGCACACGCACACGCACGCAAACGCAAAATAACAATAACACGTCGGGAAGGAAACCAAAAAAAAAATTTCTTACCTCAAGCCACACACACACACACACACACAAAAGAAAAAAAGAGACAAAT